CGTTATCGTTATCGTTATCGTTATCGTTATCGTTATCGTTATCGTTATCGTTATCGTTATCGTTATCGTTATCGTTATCGTTATCGTTATCGTTATCGTTATCGTTATCGTAATCGTTATCGTTATCGTAATCGTTATCGTTATCGTTATCGTTATCGTTATCGTAATCGTAATCGTTATCGTTATCGTTATCGTTATCGTTATCGTTATCGTTATCGTTATCGTTATCGTTATCGTTATCGTTATCGTTATCGTTATCGTTATCGTTATCGTTATCGTTATCGTTATCGTTATCGTTATCGTTATCGTTATCGTTATCATTATCCTTATCATTATCATTATCATTATCATTATCATCATTATTATTATTATTATTATCATTAGGGAAAACTATCAAATAAGCCCTCATACTATACCGAAAAGGTCGATTAGGCCCTCGTACTTTACAAACACTCAATTAAGTCCTCGAACTATTAAAACACGTTCAATTAAACCCTTTCGGTCGGTAAGTAACCGGTTTCCCGGTTAAATGTAACCTGTTTCCCGGAAGCCGCCATTGCTGGGGTTCGAGCACATCGTCGCCATCGTCGTCGTTTAACCGGGAAATCGGTTACTTACCCACCAAAAGGGCTTAATTGAACGTTTTTTAATAGTTCGAGGACTTAATTGAGTGTTTGTAAAGTACGAGGGCCTAATCGACTTTTTCGATATAGTACGGGGGCTTATTTGATAGTTTTCCCTTATCATTATGATTATTACTATTACTATTACTATTACTATTACTATTACTATTACTATTACTATTATTACTTAAATATGCATTTTCTTTTGCACTCATTAGATGCAATCTAATACTTCTTATTTTGTATCTCATTTTTATAGCAAGTTTCTATGTAAAAAAACATTGAGGGTACCTCGGTGGACATTGATTTCCACACATTGTGAGGGTTCGGGGAAGCCCCACAAAGGTATATAAAGTTATTCTTGTTACTTTGACAAGAGGTTGTTCACCAGATTCGAACTAATGACATGATTCCATTCTATGTGAGGACTATTGTGATGAACAAACTTTTTAAAGTTTGTTGTGAAACTTTTAAATACATTCTAAAAAGAAAAGTGTAACACACTTTAAAATACGGAGAGAGTATCTATAAACAAAAAGTTTCATGAGACCCGGTTGTTTCCAATTCCGAAGAGATTTCAAGTTCCAATTCCATACCCGATTCTTTTTTTCGGGGGAAAAGGGGGCAAATAAACCCACATACTAACCAAAAAAGTCAAATAAGCCCTTATATAGAAGACTCTGTCCGACCGTCGCCATTTGGGGCAGTTCCCGGTGGAATTTTTTGATGATTTTTTTTGAGAATCTTATTCATTAAGTCTAGTTTACTAATACCAAATTTCAAGTCCACCCCTACTACGAAAGTTTACCACAACATATTACAAAAGCCGAGCACCTAATATCTACCCATAAAAATTGTGCCAGAATTACAAATTTACCAGGTAGTATTCAAAATAAAGACTGTAGAGAAGTTGTTAGTTGGGCCAGGTAGTATGCGGTGCCAACAATCTGCCAACCTGTCGGTGTAAAGGGATAAAGAAACGTGGCGCTTCGCTTGTGCTATAAAGGGAAAGGAGCATGCTACACTAGACTTGGACTCGGGCCGCCAGTTCTGAATAGATGGGCCCGGGACCGGCCCGGGTACCCACCGGGTCCGGGCCTAGGAGTGGACTCGGGCCGGGCCAACCGGCCCGGAACCGGCCCGGCCCGCTACTGTGCGGGTCCGGCCCGGCCCGGTGAACCGGTTGGTGCCCGGTTCGGGCCACCCGGCCCGATCTTCAAGCGGTTCGGTCCCGGGCCTACATTTCAGTGAACCGGCCCGGCCAGGCTGCAACGGTCAGATTTTTAAATTTTTTTGTTTTAAATACTAGAAGGCTCCATAGCCATTGGGAGAGCTCCCAAACGGCTCTATAGCCATTGGGAGCATAAGAGGGGGGGTCTGGGGGGTTAGGGGGGGGTGGGGTGGGGGTGGGGGTGGGGTATACAAAAAAAACCTATTTATACTCCTATTTTCTATACATTTTTTACACCTCTTCTTCTACAACTCTTCCTACTCTCTTAATTCTCTATTCTCTCAATCTCTCATATTCAATCATCTTCATTCTTCATCTTCTCCAAATTCTTTCTACATATATATAATTTATATAATTATTATATCTACATATATATTAATTATCTACTTATAAATATATACTTATACACATTCATATATAATATAATGTACATTATATTATATATACTATATATAGTTATACATTATATTATATATTACTTATAATATATTTACACATTATATATTTATATATACTATATATACTTATACTCATTGACTTCTCGTTTATATACTATATTCTTTACACATTATATTATATATACTATATATAGTTATACATACATTTTATAAAAGTAGTTAATTGTTAGACTTCTCGTTTATCTATTAAATTACTTAATTGTTTCATTTGTCATATTAATATTAGTTAAAGTAGTTAATTGTTTCATTTGTCATATTAATATTAGTTAAAGTAGTTAATTGTTTCATTTATCATATTAATATTAGTTAAAGTAGTTAAAGTCAATTGTTTCATTTGTCATATTAATATTAGTTAAACTACTTAATTGTTACATTTCTCATATTAACGTTGTGTATGTCATATTCTAAATTTGTGTGTACAAGATGACTTAGCGGCATTAGGAAATGCTTTGGAAGTAGTGAAGGGGGGAATTAAATTGATTTGGGCTAGCACTCCACTAAAAATGCAATGACGGCAATATTTGAAGGATAGACCGATAGACGTGTCAATTATTGTGCTTTTCCTAAAGATTTGTCTATTCATTGGAATAGTACTTATAATTTAATTCAAGTACTTATTAGATATAAAGATCACTTTCCAGCTTTTTTAAGACAAACTTGTAAATATATTATAAACCCGGCTGACATCGACACTTGTGGAAAAATTGTTAATGTTTTGGCATATTTTAATAACGCAACTCTAACTTTTAGTCATGTTTATAAACCTACCGCAAACGAATTTTTTGTTGAAGCTGTTAATCTCGCCGGCGCTTTTTGTGAATTTTCCGAAGCCACTTACGTTAGTTATTTTTGTGATTTCATGAAACAAAAGTTTTTAAAATATTATTCACATATTCCGCATATATATGGTATTGCATTTGTTCTTGATCCTCGTTATAAACTTGCTTACTTGGCAAATTGTATAGATTACTATTATGCTTCTTTTTTTCCAACTCAAGAGTTCGATGATAATCCCATCGACCCTAAACAAGAATTCAACGAGTTTAGTAATTTATTTCATCAATTGTATAATGAATTTCATGCACAATATGGTAATGCACCCCCTCCCATGCAACGAACATCTTCTTCATCTAAAGGAAAATCAATTTTAAAATCCGCTTTTGGTTCTCTTTTGAAAAAAAGTAGAGCAACTCCCGCTACTGAACAAAGCTCAGGTAACGAGCTTTCTTTGTATCTAACATTGAATGTTGATTATGAAGTTGGTGATGACTTTGACGTTCTTAAGTGGTGGAAGGAAAATGAAAGAACATCCCCGATTTTATCAAAGATGGCTAAGCAAGTGCTAGCAATGCCGATATCAACCGTTGCCGTGGAACAAGAATTTAGTGCAGCCGACAACGTCCTAACCGATTATAGAACGAGGTTGAGCCCGAGCTCTCTTGAGACACTAGTTTGCTTTCAGTATTGGTTGAAGGCCCAACGAAGAACTCAAGAAATTACCATCACTCCCACCTGTCACTTTATGGAGGAAACGACGGAGATTCCGATTGATTTTTTATTACAAAATGTATTACATTTTTTAAATTCATCATACTTCTCAATTGTACTTCTTATTTGAAATAAATATACTTGAATTCGAATATAATATATTGTAATTGTAATAAGAATTATTCTAATAATATAATATATACTCCCTCCGTTCCTAAATAAACTTCCAACTTTCCTTTTTCATCCGTTCCAATTAAAACTTCCACTTTCCCTTTTTAGTAAAGAATTTGTGGTTCACAACATTTCTTACACATTTCTCTCCTCTGCACAACTCTCCACCACACAATATCCACTATCTTAAACTTTGTGCCAAACCCATTTGGAAGTTAAAATGGGAACGGAGGTAGTAATAAATAAAAAATTAAAAGGCCCGACCCAGCCCGTGAACCGGGCGGGTGACCCGAACCGAACCGGACCCGGGGTTATCCAGGCTGGTTCCGAGCCTGCCTTCCGTGAACCGAGACCTGGCCGGTTCTAGGCCCGAACCGAGTCCACCACTATCCGGGCCAGACCGGGCCTATTATCAATTTTTTTTGCCTCTTCCTAATTAACCCCCCTCCCACCCCCCAAATGACCCAAAATACCCAGCCCAACCCAAAAATTGAAAAAAAATTGAAAAAAAAAACAATTTTGGCCCGAATCGAGCCCGGTCAGGCCTTGTTTTGGGTGACCCGAGCCCGGACCGGAAAACCCACAGGTCGGGCCTACCCAGACCGATCACTGACCGGGCCACGGGTCGGGCCGGGCCGGAACTGTACCGGTCCCGGGTCGGGCCGGGCCGGAACTGTACCGGTCCCGGGCCGGTTCCGGGTCGGGCCACCCAGCCCGAGTCCACCCCTATGCTACACTATCAGCAATTGCTTTTAGTGTAGCGGTAAGCACAACGATCCACAAGTGGTATCAGAGCCAAGGTCACAGGTTCGACCCCCGACGACAACATGATGCGCAGCTAAGGCTGGCAGGTGCTGGGGGAGAGATTGTTGGGCCGTGGGCCGCGGGTATACGGTAACAGCAATCTGCCAGTCTGCCGATGTAAAGGGGTAAAGAAACGTGGCGCTTCGCTTGTGCTATAAAGAGGAAGGAGTGTGCTACACTATCAACAATTGCTTTTAGTGTAGCGGTAAGCACAACGATCCACATCGTTACTTCACTGAATTCAACTATTCTTTTCATTCGAGGAAAATAACTTCACAAGCGCAATCCTGAATGATTTGTGATCAGTATCATGAAAACAAGTCATGGCATAAAAACAATGGAGAAAGAAAGTAATAGGTGCTTAGGTAAAAGTGTAAAACATATAGCAATCCACGGAAACCAGTACCACAGTAGTAAAACCACAACCTGATCAAGGACAGAGACCACATTTTGCATCATCGTATAATCAGAAGAAAATGAAGGTCAGCATCCAAATTTACTACTAACACTTCAAAGAAAATCAGGAAAACGAAGGGGTGAACCACATAACTTATGAAAGCACAGATTGCGATATTTGAGTGCCATTATGTTTTCACGGGCTCCGCTACCGGCCTCCAAAGTCCTAGTCTGTATTTGTGAGCATACTTCAGTATCAGCTTTCTCTAAAATGTCAAAAAGCAGCGTGTCAATATAAGTTGTACGAGAGAAGAATAAGCAAGGAAAACATCCATCACTGTGTCGGCTAAATGAACCAAATGATAATCCCCTAAGTTAACAACAAGTGCACCACTTTGGTTTTTTTACTTGGACAATGATGCTTTTATTAACACCATAAAAGCTAAAATTGTACTAAATCCCTACCATACAACTTCCCGCTAGGCTTTGATACAGGAATTAAGTAAAAGTGATATGGTTTTCATTTATTCATATAAATGGATAAACAAAATTAACTACAAAATTCTTTCTTTAAATGGATGAGTGGATTCGGATGTTTTGGACAACAACTCAAAAGGGAAGATGAGATGTTTATTTTGGTAAAGAGGATTATAACCTTCAATCCAGTATGATAATAGTTTCCATTTCAATTATAATACCAAAACATTGGTGATGAAATCTGTTAAAAATGTGCTTTTACCCATTTCAAAAGTCAACCCAAACAGGCTTATAGATATGTTGATTAAAATATTTAGGTAACACCGTGATATACATTATATGAAATCTAAGAATCAGCACGGGAACATACACTAAAAATTCAAGGAGTTAAGTTTTAAAATGACTGGAAAAGTGGATCACCATAAGATGGACAATATAAATTCTACTACCTCCGTCCCATTAGAAGGTTCCCGTCCACTATTCACATGGTCAACTTAAATCATTTTTAATTTTTTACTTTATAAATAATTTTTTTATCAAACTTACATTTTTTATCAGGCTTTGTAGCGATTTTAATGTAGTTTCTGAATATATTAATTTTATTTACTAAAAATAATCAGAGTGTGAACATGGATTAAGTTGCTTTATCGTTCGTCAAGCATCGTAAACTGTCAACGAGAACCTTCTAGCAGGACAGAGGGAGTATTAAACTAGGGCGCGTTTCCACATTCACACAATTCATTACAAATCCAGGGAGTTAATTCTAATACCAACCAATGCATAAAACACCTCGACTTGCAAATAAAAATTATAGTAAGAATAAACTAAAACTAGTTTTGATTCAGAAGCCACTAATACATATTGCAAATTTTGTTCCATGACTTGCAAGTTGCAACTTCTCCTTAGGTTTTGATTAAAGAGCCTATAAAATTAAAATACCGTATAAAACTGATATTCAAGTCTCTTGAGTAATCTGACTTCAACAGCTATTACAGAAAAAAGGTCATACATATAAAAAAATCAAAATTAAATTCATTTAATTTGCGAAAACAATTTTAAAATGACAAATTTATTTAAATGCCAAAGAATAGTAGGATTCCATGACTTTTATATTGTTTACCTTGTGAATATGAATAGTTGTACCTTGACCAAATATGACTTTATTCCCAAAAGAGGTTGACATATTTCAAACGGCCAGGAAAATGGTTAAATTAGGACATGACAAGACAGAGAGCCAAAAATATACAACTAGTGTTATTGAAGAAAGATGCTTCTATATTATTCATTGATACAACAAAGTACACCTGGATATCTACTTTTTGCACTTGTGTGGAAATAGAATTGCTGTTACTCTAATGGTTTTAGATAGCACAGGAAATAATGCTTCACAACAAGTGAGAAAAAATTCTTCTTAATCAAATGATACTTGTACCACACAGAAATCCCAATTACCAAATCATTGTAGCAAGAAATATTATGACTTGTAGCAAATCTACTCTACTTTGAACTACTAGTCCTGCCAAATTAGAAAATCTTAACATATTCACTTTTAGTCAGCTTAAAATCAGTAAATACACAAAAAAAATAAAAGAATTTTTTTATTATTTCACAACAAATAATCACTGAAATGAATTCCATGAACCTAAAACATCAAAGAAAAAAGTGCAACATCTTCAAAATGGAGAAGCATTACGGGGACTCACATGCTTTACTGGAACGCCAAGACGCTTGAGCCTTAGGGTTCGAGTAACTAGAAGCTTCTGGAAATCTCCAATCTCAGATTCAAGCTTATCCACATGGGCCTCTACCCCTTTCCCCACTCCGTTCAAGAACTCTGGAATCCCCACCTTCACTGCAACATTTCAATCTCCAATTAAGTTCCAATTACCCGAAGTATAAATCAATGTCAAAGCAGAAAAAGATTCTTTTTACTATAAATATCTATGTATTGGCTGCTAATGAATCATACCCAAATACTGATGGGATTTGGAAGAGAAATTAGCAGAACTTCCACAGGATGATACTGCAGCAGCATTTGAAGGTATCACAAATCTTTTTGTGCTAAGAGAAAGCAATCCCCTCCACGCCATGGGAAGAAATTTCATGTAGCTTTATATACTCATTCAACACAAGCTAAATCCTTTGTGTTCAAACCCCCTGGTCTCAAGTGAAGCATAACAAGACCCATTAGTCCCATCGTTATGTCATAGACAACTATGTAGAAAATAGAGTAAAAAGGGACCAGTGACAATGAGAAAATAGCATTTCTTAAAAAATGTAGGACAAAAAGACTTGGGAGAAATGTGTTCTTTTGTGTGTGTGTATAAGGAAAATACTTTTTCTTTTAAAAAATATGGATATACATATCCATATTTAATTATTTACATAAAACACTGTCCATAATAGACTTACTCAAAAAATCTCACTCTCTACGTTTTCATGATTCTCCCATGAAAAATACAACAAAATTATTATCAGATTTTAAAAAAAAAACTTGTGAATGAATAAACATGAAAGAAATTGTAGAACAAAAATAAAGAATTAGGCTTTGTTTAATGAATTAAAAATACAGAATGAGGCTTTGTTGAATGAATTAAAAATTAAAAATTTATGCACTTTACACTTTCTTTTACTCCCTCCGTCTTCCTAACTTTGTCCCGTTTTACCTTTTTCGTCCGTCCCATTAAGTTTGTCCCATACCATATTTGGTAATATTTGAGTGGTTACAATTCATTCTTACTTTATTCACACTTTATCAATTCAACACCAACCACACAATTCCACTTTTTCTTAAAATTTGTGTCACACCGCTTTGTCCCAAACACAGTGGGGCGGAGGTAGTATTATATAAGGATAACAAAATGGTCGGCTCTTCAAACAATTCTACTTTGAATTTTAGTTACCAACAAGTTTGATGTATTAACAACTTGGGTTTTTGACATTGAGTACACCATAATCTTGTTTATTGCACTTACTAATACATTATTCCTAGTTTCCAACACCTTACTGGATTTAATAACTTGCTTCCAACAACTTCACTGATTTAACATAGTACCGTCTTGTTTCTTGCATTCTCAACATTCACTTCATTTGATATACACTACTTAATGTTTATTGATTACATATTTCAAATCTCCAATGACAATGTTTCACCCCTGATATTATCAGTATAATTTAACAATATTAAAATGACATTGCTTTAACCCCAAAGATCCATTTCTTCTGAATCTTTTATAGATATGGAATCCAAGATTCCATCTATTTTCAAATTGTTCTGGATATGCAGCACTTCAAATACTTCTACCCACAACAAAATTTACAATAATATAGAACTATCTATATAGTCCTTACTCCATCGAATGATGTATTTTTGTTTTCAAATATTTTCACCAAAATCAAGAACAAAAACCCCCAAGATTCCAACTAAGATTAAAATACTCTCAAGGAGAAGGGCAGGCAGGCCGTGGACCTTGCCATAGATAGGGTTGTCAAAGTTTTTACTACAGTATCTGTTAATTTTTTTTATAATCTGATTTGCCTGTTGGTCTTAGATTGTTTTCAATAAAATGATCAAAAGACTCAAATAAATATTGCACCTACTGGTTACTACAGTGCTGGAGTTTCTGCGTCATTGGACCGTCGCGGAGAATTGGGAAACTCAGGGTAGAGAGTGGGAGATTTGGGAGATGGGAGGCAGTGAGATGCTTAGGGCATCTCTAATGGGAGGGTGGATTGCAATAAGGTCCATCTTATGTAGCATAGGGGAGAGATAGAGATAGGATGATTATTTCAATTTAATATAGGAAAATGGTTTTCCATCATTTGCAATGGAGCCAAAGACTCACTACTATTTGGCTTGGGAATATGATGGAATAAAGCAAAATGGCTCACTAAACAATCTGCGCTTCTTTGTTAAGAAGCGGACGTCGGTCCATGCAATTTTCGACACGATTTTCACTATGGGTCATTCGAGAACCGTCTCTTTGTGCTTTATAGTACAAGGGTAAGGTTGCGTACATCCGACCCCTTATCCCTCTGAATGTGGGATCCTTTGAGGCACTGGAGTAATGATGATGATTATAAGAAAAATCGTATGTAGGAAAAAATGAAACTAGGTCTATGACAAGGTCCACAAATGGACCTTACACAGGATTCAAGGAGAAAAAGTAGAGGAAAAGTGGGTTAATAGTGAAATAAAAAAAGAAGATGAAAATAGATTAGGAGATATGTAGGTCCTACACATAAAAATTGTGAGATTAAAATGGGACTCATGTGTAACAGTGCGTAAGAGAGCACACCCTCCCATTGGAGATGCTCTTAGAGCTCAAAGGGTTTAGTGCAAGACACTAAGCACGCAAAGAGCACTTGAATGGAATCCAAGGGTGAGGGGGGATTTCTTGAGAAGTATAAGCAAAGCTAAGTTAAAGATGAAAAAAGTAACACGTGATAAAATATCCTCAGTACAACTGACTAAAGTGAGAGTATTTATATTAGCAATAAATGGAAAATGTACAAGGACCGGTCCTGTCTATTTCAAAGCCTATGGAGGGTAATTTATAATGGGCTTAAAGAAATGTAAGCCTATTATAAATAACTCACTAATAACGTTTTTTAGAAGATGAGGTAGTACAATTAAGTCAAATGAACCCTTCTCAAATAAAACTATTTATGTCTGAACTAACATGCATATATTTTAACACCTTTATACTAAAAACATGACTTTCATAATCCGTTAAATTAAAAAAGTAGAATCACGGTCAAAAAATATAATATTAAATAAAATAAGATGTAGTAATATATCTTTTAAACAATTTTTTTGCTGAGGATTGTGAAGTGAAATCATAACAATAGCGCCATAATCAAGCTTTTCTAACACCTTAAGCTCAATGCTTAATATTGCTAATCCATCATGTCTTTCTTGAGATTATTGACCGTAGGTAATTCTTCACTTTGAAAACCTCTTTCTCCCATTCAGATTCAACCATTTTTATAACAACTTAAAATTAATTAATTTATAAATTTAATAAAAATTTGAATTTTTACTGAACAAACTTCGACACTGACACAAAATCACAACTAAATTACATAGCAGAAAAATAAACTAATCACTTAAAAGTCAACAACTATGAACTAATCACTTAATCAGCAAGGGTAGAACCGCAACATCAACAAAAATCACTACTCCACAATTAGGAGTGGCAGAACAAATCATGACATCAGCATTGAACAATCAACAACTATAAATGAACTAATCAATAAATCAACTACTCATTTATCAACAACTCTGAACTAATCAATAAAAGAGTTATAGAGGCATACCAGAAGGTGAGAAGGGAAGAAGGAGTGGAACCGCAGGTCCACACAACTGGCAGAAGTGCAGGCCTTGCAGCGCACCAGAAGGTTGAGGCGTTGAGCACTGAGAAGGGGCAGGGCAGCAGGCGGCCAAACGTCGCTGCGTCGGAGACTTGGCTTTCGTCGATGAGGGTGAGTCCAGGGGTGGATCTAGCTTTGGGGGCCCAAATTTAACTAAATAACATATATTGCCAGAAAAAAATAACATGTAGTGTATAATAATGTGCATTTAACCGAATTTAATTTCAAGTGTAAAATAACATCTATTGCGGAAAAAGATCAAAGAAAAAATATATATATATATATATATATATATATATATTATAGGAATAAGAGTTTTTGTCAAAGTCAATACAAAAAGCCACAATTTTACAACTGTTCTCTATGAGTTTTCATCAATTGATATCGTTTGATAATGAAATTGGTATTCTCAATCCAGGGTCAGATGGAAGTTGGGATTTGGGAAGAATCAAACTACTCAACAGAAAATGATTGTTTGTTATTTATGTTTTGTGCGTCATTGTATTTGAAGTTTCTTGAATTGTAGGTGAGACCACTACATTTCTAGACAAGCTATCTAATTAGCTCCTTTTTCAATGGGGTTATAGTATCTCTTCATTACCTTTATTGAAAAAAATAGAATTAGGATTATTAGCTAAATATATCCTCAACTATCATAAAATTCACAAATCTATCTTATACTTTCATTTTTATTATAAAAAGACTCAAACTTCAATTTTTCTAACAATTACACATTCAATAGATGAATTAGTAAAACTTAAGAAGAAAATCGTGTTTATATTTCATATTTTTTCACTTCTTTTAGCTTTAAGTTTGAAAACTTGTATTGATTATATTTTATCGGTATTTGGTAATTTTGAAAAAACAAAAAAGAAAAGCATAACTGTTGAAAAAAATGAAGTTCGAGTCTTGTTTTAATAAAAGTGAAAGAATAGGATAGATTTGTGAATTTGATAATAGTTTGAGATAAATTAAGCTAATAGTCCATAGAATTATTAGTTACTAAGTAACTAAACTAATACCAACTAACTAAAAAATTACATTAATACTATCAAAACACCATAAAAATTCATACTAATATAAACGATGCTTACAAATGAAAAATTACAACTCACGAATCACAAATTACATTCTTAACAAATTCGTAATAACTGTTACAAGTAATAAGTGGCTCACTGTCTCAATCAAATAGTCAAATAAAACTGGAATTAGCAAACCATCCCTAAAAGCATTAATATGAAATTCCCGAAATAATCAAATTAGGCTGTAAATCATGTAATTTCGTCTCAAAAGACCTAAATCGAATCATGTAATTTAGTCTCTACAGACCTAGATTGAATATAAAAAATACAATAAAACTAGACAATTAACAAACTTACCAGTGAGGCGACGAAGAGCGACAATAGCGCGCAGAGCACTACACGCTATGGCATTCGAAAGATGAGAGACGAGAATTAGCTGCTACTCCGCCTACTCAGCTATAGTCCGTGCGCCGACCGTGATTTTGCAGCAATAGCGATTCTTCGGTTCTTCTCTGCGGCTCACGGACGAAGAGTTGGGATTTGAGTTATTTCCGATGAGTTCCTCTGGCCCTCTGCGGTTCTACGCCCCCTTCGTGCTTGAGTGGCTGTGGAGAACGAATTTTGGATGTTGGGCCACGTTTTTTTGGTAATTTTGGATGTCGTATTAAGAATGTAATTTTGGATGTTGGGCCACGAATTGTGAAGAGCATGGGTATATCTCGAACCAATAGTATCTCCAATAGGGTAATGGATCGGAGTAAAGGCTATCCTATATGACATAGGAGGGAGATAGAGATAAGATGATTATTTTAATTTAATTTAGAGAAAGTGGTGTGTATGAAAGAGAGTAGATGGGAGTCACGGGACTACAAGACTGCCACATGATTTATTATTATTATTATTATTATTATTATTATCATCATTATCATTATCATTATCATTATCATTATCATTATCATTATCATTATCATTATCATTATCATTATCATTATCATTATCATTATCATTATCATTATCATTATCATTATCATTATTATTATTTTTATTTTTATTATTGCTATTATTATTACTACTATTATTACTATCATTACTATCATCATCATCATCATCATCATCATCATCATCATCATCATCATTATTATTATTATATGCATGCATACCCTTCGGGGCATGTGGTGGCAACACATTGTAATGTAATTGATGTTGGTAGAGCTATTATGTGGCCTTGGTGAGGATGATGACCCTTGGTCGCTTATGGACTCGTTGATTCTTCTAGTAACCCGTCGTCCTATGGTATGATTGTGGGATGTGACCGAAGGGTCTCAAATGAGGGATCCAGGACCAAGTTGTTTGTTGGTATTTGTTCTTTGTGTTTTCTTGGTAATTTGTGTGGTGAACAACCTCTCATCCCTAGAGTTGGGCCGATGGGTTGCTCATATGCTTTCGTTGAATTTGTCGAGACTTCCTCCGAGGGTGTGGGCAATGAATCTAGGCCTATATACACATATAATAATGAAATAAAATGAGATCATTTTCCATTTTACGAATGACCCAAAACAACAATCCAAAGAGAATCCAACGTAGAAATTAGTTAAACCTTTTCTTCAAAAAATACGAACTCCACAAAACACTTTAAATAACCAATAGTTACATATGAAATAGGCAAGGCAGCGCTAATCAGTGACCTCAGGTATTATGATAAATGGTTTATAACTTAATCCATTTCTAAAGCCCACTTAACTTAACAGAAAACACACACATACTTGGTGTCACTTACCAAATTTATTAATCAACTATGTATACAAGGGGGCATGACTGCACGAAGCTTTATGTCATATGATGAAAAAACAACATAGCCAATGCAATAAATAGATAATATTATTAAAATCTAATAGTAGGGCACCTCAAATTTAGATGATTAAATCATTCAAGGAATAATACATTCGAGAACAATCTCAGCATAGCATAAATAGAAAGAGACATAGCTGCTACATTGCATGCACATGTAACATGAGTGAAATAGCATGCATGCCTAAAATCTAGGAAACAAGTTATGTGGATTATGATGCTCATCGGTGTAAAACTAGTAGAGTGTATGAATGTGTGATAGGGGTCGAGTGTGTCACGCCCCGGACCTATCCGGACACGTCAACAACCCGTCGTACAATACGAATAGTCAACTGCACTCTAACACATCCATATTATACAAGGCGTCTCGAATATCATTCAAACATAATTCATCCATTAACATACATAATAAACAATTCAATACGCAGCGGAAAACATAGTTTGAAAACAAATGCCACACGGGGCAAACATGAGCACGCATGCTCTATAGTGAAAAAAATATCCATGAGCATATTTATAAATGTTCAAAAACAAAATGAAGGAAGCACGAACCAAGTCTTCTCTCCCAGATGATCACCCGAGCAACGAGAATAGGTAGCAAGCTCTAGCCTCAACCTTAAATGGTGGTGGGACGCCCCCCGAAAGGGGGTTAGTACTCTATACGGCTATAAAGTACTGGTGTGGATGGCATCTAATAGATATACATCAAGTATTTCAAACACAAGACCCTCAAATAGGGTGATAATATAATCTAGGTCGTAACCCTAAGTTACCCCTTTTCAAAATATACTTACTTTATATATAAAGTCAAGTAGTCGACCCGTAAGCCCAAGGTTTGTTTACAAAACATCAACCCAATACCCCGTGACTACCAGTCATGACAATTCATAAGGTCCAACCCTAACACATATGTTTGCATTTCTAGAGTCCAACTGAAGTACATCACCATGCAAATCATATGACATAAGTTAATTACTCCACCGTGCATTTCTAGAGTCCAACTCAAGTACATCACCATGCACAACATAGGCTACAGCCTCAAATTTCCCATGCATTTCTAGAGTCCAACTCAAGTACATCACCGTGCCATGACATAGACTCAATTCCTAAGCAAACCTATGCCTAGAATTGAGATATCAATAATCTATTTTGGGACATCCTTACGGACTGCCCGTAACATGATCTTAGCTTCATACTAAATCAATTAAGTCACTTGAATCACATTCAAGCACATAACTTACAATCAAATTCTTAGATTCAATCCCTTGACAATTATAAACAATCATTAACTAGTAATTCAATACTATCAAGATTATTATTATAAATCAAATATTCTACTTGTAAGTCCCTACATATCTAGAGATATGTAACAAAAACTTAAGCATCCAATGTAATACATAAATATTCATTAATGTATCTACACAATTCACACATGAGTAAAAATGCTTATTTTACATAATAGTTCATTTTGCTCCATTTTCATCAATATGATTCCAAATCATTTCCAATTCCATTCCTTATCAAATATATCCATATTTCATCAATAATCAATCTTCATAATCCATGAAAAACATGACTTATGCATTTAGGTAATCTCATGCTTAACCTACAAGTTGTAAGCAACTAGATGTCGATCCTCACCTCAAATGAACTTTAAACCTTTCCTTCTCAATCCAATGCTCAAAGCTTCGGACAAGGCAAGTTGAGAACTGAATCCTTGCCTAAAAATGAATTCTAGGCAGCCTCCTCAAGTTACTATCTCAACCTTTAACCAATGATACGAAAACAACCCCTAGAATGGGTGTTTTCCGGCGAATTCGTCTCCTAATCTTTCAAGGTTTGTTCTAGGTTAGTATCTAACATTTACTTCAATAAAATACCCTTCTAAAGAACATAGTATACACTTGTAGTGTGTAATAGTCACCTCAACCATTTATGTGATTTAGATAATATAAAGGAAAGTTTTGGATTCCAACTTACTTTGAATACAAAAACGTAATCTGCGAGGTATCGTTTTCCTTCGATTCTTTGGAGGCCTAAACTGCTCCGTTTTCTTCAAAACGCACGTTTATGGATTCCTTATCTTGATAGCTTTCTTTAGACACCTCACACGCCCTTTTTGGATGAGTGTAGCTCTAGATATGAATCAAACAAGAAACCCTACGCACTGGAAAATAAACCTGCATGCAGTTTCTTTCTTCCTTCCTCTCTTGAGTTGTGTGGCTCCTTTCTCCTCTATTATCCTTGGGAGTTCGTATGGGGGGTTTGTGGGAGTGTCTAGGAGCTCTCAATCAGGTTAGCAAGATATGTGCAGGGGCGAATCTATGAAGGGGCAGGGGTGGGCTTCAGCCCAGCCCAACCCATTTTTTTTATTAATATGGGTATAGCTTTGGTATCCAGCCCACCCTAAAAGTGTTGTGCAGCCCACCCTAAAATGCAGCTCAAGTTCAAGGTTTATGCCAAAAGCCTCACATACCCCCAGTGCATAAAGCTGAGCAATTGGTTTAATGTGTGTGAGGAGCAATTTTTTTATAGGGCAATCAGGAGGATGAACATCCTTTGCAACCGGTGTGGGAAAAATGAGAATAAAAATTCACATACAGAGCACAATACTCGTATTTGCTAGTGCTAGGTGCAAACCTATCTCACCCAGTTACCCCACACCATCAATGTACCCCTTTGAAGTTTCCCACAACATCCTTTACAACATTAATTTACAAAATGATTATGCTAACATTAACTTGACGGTTGTTATTATATTATTACATTATATTACTATTATTAATATAGTAATACTACTATTATTATCATGAGTTTTTTTCTAAAATATTACGAGTACTAGCATAAGAATAAGGATCTTTTTTGACTAATGTCACTATGAGTACATTTTTAGATCACTCTAATTGTAAAAATTAGACATATTTAATTATTTTAATAACTAAGTAACTTTTTATCCACTACCCTTGTTCGGTCATATAATTTTTTAATTATTATTATGCTTATTTCATTGTCCAGTTACTTATCTAGTTCTAGTTTTTGCAACAAGCGTAGTTAGAACTAATAATGTAAATTGAGGGGATTATTTTGTAATTCTTTAAACATTATTTATTATAAATATAAGCTCAAGGCACCCACTAGGGCAAACAATTCTTTCCTTAAAATCATATTATTGTATAGGAACTACTATTTTGTAATTTTTAGAACTGTAGATATATATATATACTTTTGTTATAAAATTGCACAGTGTAATTTTTTCCATGTTTTTATCTAATATTACATTTATATACTACCTAATAGCTCTAGATTTATTTATTCTTTGGAAACATAAGAAAAAATTAAAAATCTCAATTCAATTTTGAAACTAGGAATACTTAATAATTATATGACGTCGATTGTTTTTACGTATTAGTTTTATACCTTTATAGAAGTATTTTAATTCATACCAATAAATACCAGGATCTTTAATAATCATTAAAAAAATTATAAAATTGCACTAAAACATTTAAATATTAAGATATATAAATTTTATTCCTATAATCTGTGAGTTATCGATAGGCTCAAGTTCGAATCGAACCGAATATCACTACGCTCGAGCTCGTTAAGCTCAGGTTGTTAAATTAAATTCGAAATCACGTACGAACTCGAATACTTTAAAAAAAGCTCTGTTTGATAACAGCCTTAAGCTAAACCTTTTGTGCGTAGTAACAATTTTATTTACTGCTTAACCCACCCCAATTTGCATTCCTGGATCCGCCCCTGGATATGTGATTTACAAGAGAGTATGGGAGATATTTGGTTTGCAATCAAATATGGGGTGGACCTCCCCTTTTTGT